TTCTGCTCCATGCTATGCTCAGATCCTAAACTTGATTCACATCGATTCAAAGATATTTTAGATGAAGCAATTTCCTCTGGTAAGATTTATAATTCTTTTATGTACTTTTTTTTTTTCATAAATGGAAAAAAAGAAACCCCATTTTTGTTACTTTTTCATAACAAGACTTGATGTTGACTTGTAGGAGACCTGAAGTCGACCAAAGCTTACCAGAAATGGGCTAAGCAAGTCTCTGAAACAAAACCACCTACAGATCCATTGAGTCGAAGGGGGAAGTGAGTCATTTGTTTCTTTCATTTTTAAAATAATATTATTTTTTGGGATTATGGTTTTGATAAATGAAAGTGATATGATGATGTTTGACTATTGACAGGTCAAAGAAAGAATCGGATGATTTGTATGCTATAATTTCACAGAGGCAAAGTGAGAGGAAAGGGCGTTTGGATGCTATGTTTTCGTCTCTGGTTGGTAAGTATGGTGGAGGGGGAGAGTCTTCAGAGCCTACTGAAGAAGAGTTTGAAGCTGCAAGGGTAAAACTGGAAAAACGCAAGGGTTCTAAGAAATCTAAGAAATCTAAGTAATTGTGATCTAATTTAGAGTTTAGTACACAACTCTTATTTTATCTTGTCAAAAAACTTCCTGTGTCTCTTGTCTGGTTCTGTTGTTAATCCTCTTTTATATTGCTATGGATAATATTAGGTATTATAAATATAAATTACAAAACAAACTACTTTCATTTTGTTCTTTAATGCTAGTAAGAAGACTATGCGTTAACTTCCATATTCAAATTTAGTACCTTGCACAACATAATTATGTTAGACTAAGTCAAGACATGAGAAGTCTATGTTTAAAAAGTGATTGATTTTAATATCTGATGCAATACGTTTTATAACATGATAGCCAGTAAGATGCAATTTATTAATAAAAGTTCTTTAAAGATTAAAGAAATTAAACGGAGGGAAATCTATGTGCATTCGTTTTCAATATGTTTATCCTAAATTTAAGATGATTTAAAAAAAGAGATAATCAAAATATGCATGTATTTAGATATTCACAAAAATAACAACATAATCGGTTTTTGAGTATTTGCATCAATAACCATCATTTCTATTGTAATTAGATATTTTCCCATGAATATTCTCCTCTTTAATCAACTATAAGTAAGAATATTGCAATGAGGATTGGGCCAAAGCCATTAGCCCACATGTAACAAAATAATTACATTAATAAAATATAATAATAATAACTCCTACACTCTCATTGATTTGACCACATATAATTATTTTTAATTAATTTTTTTCCATATGATTTGTTTTATTTTATTAATTTTCACATAATATTTAAATATAATAATTGCAATAAATGTAATAATAAATGCATATAATTTCATTAATTGACTTAATTTTAATTTTAAAAATTTTAAATTAAAGTTTCATTAGTTTCCTATGTTTATTTATCTAAATTATTTGTTTAATTTAAAAGAAAAACAAACAATTTAATTTTAATAATTCAATATTTTTCTATTTTTTTTTTTAAAATTCAAATTTCTCCAATATTTAGAATTTCATATTTTTTCCTCTAAAATAAAACCCATGTAATACATGAGTCTTACACCTAGTTTCAATAATATATGATATGTGTTTTTTTCTTTGGTTGCGCCAATTACTTTTAGAAATGCGCTAACTATAAAATTTAAAAAGTCTAATACAATTGAACTTTTACAAAGTGTCATCCATGATATCGTATGTCCATGCTAGCCTTACTGCATATAGTAATCAATGATAAATAAAACCACAATTATGACAGAATGAAAAAATCATGTTCATTTGTCACGAAAATTAAAATTAAGTATCCTTTCATAGAATGTGATTCCTTTCTTCTAGATTTTCATTTCATGAGGAATGGTATTTATTTTTGTTTCATGGAATATATGTAATAACTATAAATTACTTTTATTTATTTATTCAATAATAATTTTTAGAAAATTTAAAATTTCATGTAAATAAAAAATAAAATAAAAATATATAGTATCATAACTATATTTTTTGATTGACTAAACTGCACAAATGGTCCTTGTGGTTTGCTGAAAATTGCAACTTTGGTCCAAAAAGCTTTGGACTAGCACCACAGGTCCAAAGTTTTCATTTTGTTGCGAGTTTGGTCCGATTTTAAACTTTTTTGAAATGACGATTTTACCATTGTTTTTGCTTTTTCAGTTTATTTATTTATTTAAATATTTGTATGATTAAAAAAATAAAAAACACCTCTCTCTCCCTCTCTCTCTCTCTCTCTCTCTCTCTCTCTCTCTCTCTCTCTCTCTCTCTCTCTCTCTCTCTCTCTCTCTCTCTCTCTCTCTCTCCAATAGAGAAGTTCAAAAAATTTGTTCCATTTTTTGCTCTCTTGGATTTGTAATTACTTCGTGTTAATAATACAGAAGAAAAGGGAAGTACCAAATGTCATCAAATCATAAAAGCTTTGTAGGTGAAAACCATTCAAGAAATCTTTCAAACAAAACATGGAAATTTTTCGTTTTTTCTGAAACACACACACTCCAAAATTATGTATTTGTTCTTCAACACACAAATGAACCCATATTTTGAATAAAACCAAGACAAGATTTTTGATTTTGAAAAAAAAAACTATAAATGATTACTCATGAACACATACTCCATGAGCACCTCCAAATCCATGATCCCAACTGTCGGTCGATGCGTGTTTGGTATCCCCATCAATGGAAGAACAAGCTTCACATACTTCCCATAAATCTTCGCTATCATCAGAAAACGCCGTCATCGTCGGTGATTCAGAACTCCACGATGGCAACGTACATCAGTGAAGATTTGGATGTCTCCTTCGTCTCTCTCCTTCGATTTTGAACATAAGATGAGGACATGGTTGCAGATCTGTAATGAGGGAAACAGATCTGCAACATCCCATTTTGAAGAGAGTAATTAAATAATAAATTAGGAGCCCCGGGAAGTAATTATTATTATTATTTTATATTATTAGGGCTCAGAAATTAAATAATAATTAGTGGGGTGTTGGTCTCGGGAAAACCAAATGGCAAGAATTGAATCTCCGGGGGTTAAAGTGTAAGTTCGTTACTTAATTTGTAAAGATTTTCATAAGTCAAGGGCTGATTGGTAACATTTTGGACTTGAATTGTAAGGATTTTCAGGAGGAGGGGTTAAATGGTAACTTATGGATCTTAATTGAGAATAAGTTGTGAAGGAGGGGTTGTTTTGTAACTATTGGACTTTTTTATGAAACGGAATTATGGATCAGGGGTTTAAAGGGTAAATTTTGGATCGAAATTGAAAGAAAAGGGTGAAGGAGGGACCAAAGGTGTTGTTATGGAATGAAGTTTGAAGGGATCGGGTATATGAACCCGTCACCTTCACAAACCCTAAACCTAACCCCCATATTGCAGTCGTCATCTCTTTCTTTCATCTCTCGGCCGCCACCACTTCGCTCCTTCCTGTTCCGATCAACCCAAGGTCGCCGGTGGACCGTTGCTGCCGGTGGAGACGTCCCTTGCCGCTATCTCTCTACCGACGACGACAATCGTGGCGGAAGCTGCTGCCGTTCGTGGTTGGGAAGACCGGACCTCCTTCTCCGGTTGTATGCTGGTGCTCCGTCGCACGCCTCCTCGCTGAAAGAGCGTCGCCGCTGCATTTCTCGGTTGCTGCTGCTGCCCGGTTCCGTTGAAGATAAGATGTCGCCGTTTCCGTTGCTGCTGTTCTAGGTGGAGAATAACCGCCGCCATCCCGTGTTCTTCTTCTCCTCTCTTCTCCGTTCGCTTTCTTCATCACTACCGTGGGCTGCCGCCGCCGCCATGCGGCTGCCTTGCCGTGACTGAGTGACCGCCGACCATTTCACGCCACCAGGTGGGTGGCTACGTTCATCGAGCGTGTTTTGTCGAAGTGCTGCCACTGTTGATTGTTCTAGACTCGTTATTGTTGGTCGGAGATGTAAAGGGACCACCATGGCCGCCAGCCATGGTGGCTGCCACCATCCAACCACCGCCTGCCGCCACAAGACTGGTCGAGTGTGTGTGTGTGTGTTATCGTGAGTGTGCGTTTATTTGAATATCGGGTGTATTATTGTAATAAATCTGAATAGTAAATAAAACCCGGTAGGCATTCTAGACTCATACTGAGGACTCGGGAGCATTCCAGATACGAGCTGAGGGACCGATAGACATTCCAGACTCGTACTGAGGGCTCGGTGACATTCCAAATACGAGCTGAGGGCCCGGTAGGTATTCCAGACTCGTACTGAGGGCTCGGTGGCAATCCAGATGTGAGCTGAGGGCCCGATAGGCATTCCAGACTCACACTGTGGGCCCAGGGGTATTCCAGTCTGTAAAGCTGTGGACCCGTTACGTGCTGTTCAGTTTGTTATGTTATGATATTGCTGACATGGTTATGTGGACTGTATGTGTATCGGTATTTTTGGGGGTAACTCACTAAGCTTTCGGGCTTACAGTTTCAGTTTATTGTTTCAGGTACATCAGGGGATCGTGGCAAGGCAAAGGCGTGATCGTACAACTCCTCACTTTTTTTGACTTTGTTTCTGGGATACTCTGATATGATACATTTTGAAAACAAGTTTGTAATAGTTAATGGATTTAAATGTTTTTAAAAGTTTAAATTGGCTTGAATTTTTCGGGTGTTACAAGATCTAGGTGGGTATTGCAGATCTGTAAGGAGGGAGGCAGATCTAGGGTTTGCTGAGGAAGATCGTGGCGTCATTGTTCATGAAATTGAAACTTCCGATCTCCTCACCCCTTAATTTGGTTTTGCTGATAAAACACGTAGGTGACATAGATGGAGTCGAACAGTTTTGCTTTTGGGTTATGCTAATTTCTTGAGAAATCTGGTTTTGTTGAACAAAACCCCAATTTATGTGGGTTCATTCCACCATGGTCGATTTCTTGATAATTTTGGCAAAAAAAAAATCCAGATTTCTTGAATATATTTTTTTAACCGGATGGTTTTATGGGAGATACTACTGGAGGTAGAAGGTATGTGGGGGAGGGGGGGATGTGGGAGATGACGGGCTATAGATTTTCATCGTTGCAATTGAAGGTGATGGTGGTGTTCCACTGGTTTAGTGTTCTTTGGGGTTGAGAGAGAAAGAGAGAGAGGTATTTTTTATTTTTTTAATCATACAAATATTTAAATAAATAAATAAATTGAAAAAGCAAAAATAAGGGTAAAATCGTCATTTCAAAAAAGTTTAAAGTAAATCGGACTAAACTCGCAACAAAATGAAAACTTTGGACCTGTGGTGCTAGTCCAAAGCTTTTTGGACCAAAGTGACAATTTTCAGCAAACCACAGGGACCATTTGTGCAGTTTAGTCTTTTTTTTTTTAAAAAAAAGTTATGCAAAATCAAAGAAAACTTACAAAACAAAAAGAAAAAGATACCTTAAAATCAAAAAGACAAAACTGCACAAATGATCCCTGTGGTTTGTCGAAAACTGCCACTTTGGTCCAAAAAGGTTTGGACTAGCACCAGAGGTCCAAACTTTTCATTTTTTTGCAAGTTTGGTCCAACTTGCTATGAACTTTTTCATAATGACGATTTTGCCCTTACTTTTTTCTTTTTCATTTTTTTATTATTTAAAGATTCTTCAGAAGAAAAAAGAAAAAAGAAAATTTGCCTTTTCTATTTAATTTGTATAATTTTTGTAACATAAAAAATAGAAAATGAAAATGCAAAATCTCTCTCTCTCTCTCTCTCTCTCTCTCTCTATCTCTCTCACTCCGCTCCCAAAAATTTACCCATCTAGCTTATCTTCTTCCTCCCACTCTTGCTCTCGATACCATTCAATACTACTAATCGCCCACCATTGCCACCTGCTTGACGTAAAACTCTGCTTAATAACCTTCATTCTCGTTTTCGCCAACCCGTTGCCTCCTCTTCCACTGTTTTGAACCACCATTGATGGAACCCTAGCCGTCGTGCATCCGGTCTGAACAGAGAGGAGGGAGGAGAGCTGAGAGGAGATGAAATCAATTTTTGAAATCACTTCGAATGGTGCACCAGATCTACAATGCTATTGCAGGCGTCGTCTTCAATGCATCTGGGTTTAAACGGTTCGACTTTGATGATATTATTCCCCAACCTAAACCTAAGTGTGTGTGTGCGTGTGTGTTTCCATTCCCAGATCTAACTCTGTCATCGTCAACTTACAAAATATCTGAAGTCGACGATCATCAAACCACCTCCATTAATTTTGTATGCGTCTCCTTGTTTCCTTCTTCAAACTCGATTGCAAGTCTGACCCTTATTCTTATTTTTTTTTGTTCGATCATAGGCGTCACTTCTCCATTCAATCACAATCCCTCATTCTTCATCCTGCATCTTTCTTAATATGTTTTTTGAGCTGCAATTTGATCAGAAGATAAATGAAAGAACAAGGCAGACAGGGATGATGGGTTCTCGATGATGGTGAGTTTTCATGGTGGCTCGATTTTTCTAGGCAAAATTAGTGATTGTTGGTGGTTTGGCAATGTTTATAGTGGTGACCGAAGGATCTGCTTCGCTAGAGAAGGGAGGGGAGTAATGGGCGTTCTTCATGTTCTTAAAGGTGGATTTGTGTTTATGTGTTTAGTTGTGAGAGAGAGAGAGAGAGAGAGAGGAGAGGAAGGAAGAGAGAGAGAGAGAGAGAGAGAGAGAGAGAGAGAGAGAGAGAGAGAGAGAGAGAGAGAGAGAGAGAGAGAGAGAGAGAGAGAGAGAGAGTGTGTGTTTGCATTTTTAATTTTTTTTTTATTTCTATTATAAAAAAATTATAAAAATAAAATAGAAAATCAAAATTTATTTTTAATTTTTTCCTTTAATAAAAAAATTAAATAATAAAAAAAACTGCAAAAGAAAAAATAATAAGGGCAAAATGGTCATTAAGAAAAAGTTCATAGCAAATTGGACCAAACTCGCAATAAAATGAAAAGTTTGAACCTCTGGTGCTAGTCCAAACCTTTTTGGACCAAAGTGGCAATTTTCAGCTAACTACAGGGTCCATTTGTGCAGTTTTGTCAATTTCAAATATATGTTTATAATCCGGTGAACAAATTCAAATTAAAATATATTTTGACTGAAATATTGATATCTAACAAAAGAAAAATTATAACAAATAGGAAGATTCTAAATGATTTTCTTTTTGTTATCTATCTCCTAAATTTATAAAGAAGGAAAATAGTTACATTAAGATATTAAATGGAAAGAATATAATTATAAATTTGTGAGTATAGTTTTATTTTCATTTTGTTTCAAACTCCATGACAATATGATTGCGCTTACTTGAGCTCCACTGTCGTAACGTGCAAACTGCAAAGAAGCCTGAAAGATGAGTTCCACCGCCCCTTCCGACCTCCGCTGTCACCCACTCATTGCCGTTGTGCTGTCACCTTCATTCACACTCTAATTATTGTAATCTTCTCATGTATAAATAACTTCTCAGTTTTCCTCATCATCATCACTCAAATTCAATTGTAATTTGTAATCGCTACAGAAAATTAACTTTTTGTTGTAATTTAATCATTCGAATGGCGCAGGTTGGCCCTACCACTTCCACTGCCGTCAAGGTCTTCCTAGTCGCCTTCTTCATCGCAGCTCTGGCCTCGTCCGTTTCAGCGCAGGACGTTGCAATGTCGCCGGCTCCATCTCCCGCTGCAGGCGCCGCCTCCTCCCTACCGATCCCCGGCATCCTGGCTGGATTCGCTTTCATCCTCTCCGCCCTAACACAGTTAAGGAACTGAGATCTGATCCTCTTCGTTTCTATTATGTATGTGCGATTTCAGATTATGAATTATGAATTTATGATTATTTTGTTAATGTGAGTTTATTCTTTGTTCATCATCTATCAAAGGCAAATCTGATTCTTCAATCGTTCCATCCTCACAGAAGCACTTTCTTTTTTGTTTGATTCCATTATCATGCATTGTTTACGAAGAAACAGAAACAACACAAATAAAACAAAACCTAAACACCGATTCTTGAAAGAATACATAAAACTGGCGATGCTCTATATATCATCATCTAGTTATACCAGGAGTTGCTCTCCAACTATTCTTCAAAATTATGTTATAACCCGAAGAGACATATTTAATACAGTAAATAATATGACAAGTTAACAAAAGGATTGCAAGGGTTAACATGCACACAATATAATTCTGTTTTTTTTTTATCGCGTAAGCATAAAAATGGATATATACAAGAAAGATCAATGACAGTTAGAAATCATATGGTGGTTTCAGAACTGTAAAGTGTCGAGGATAACCCATACGCTTCCATTGGTCCAAATACCCTCCACATAAATAATCTACTGCAAACTTACACTCGAGACATTTAAAGATCATTTTATATTGTAATCCCCCACAACACATACTACATTGACCATCCGACGCAATAGCTTGAGCAAATGAGAGAGGGTGTGGGTGACTATCAGTGTTAAGAATGCCTCCAAACTTTACATTTTACAAATCGATGAATAGCTCTCTTACGGCTGATATAGGTATCAGTCTCACACGTAAGTATTAATGGAGCACAAGCGGTATGCACAGATTGAACACAATCTTGACAATGATAGAAAGATGCATGAGGGTTCAAATCTTCCTCACAAATTTCACAAAAATATTCACTCTTATGGTCCTGGATTGGGAGGTAACTTAGATGCATGGGGTGCTTGTCATGTTTGTGTGTGATTGTCTCCGGTGATAACAAAGCACATTCAGGATGTATATAAATATTATTACATACTTTGCAACTGAATGAAGGCTGATGTGTTAAAGAATAAGATTCATTATCAGGATAACGATGACCAGGACCCTGAGTAAATTTTTTGAGACACATATGACAAGGTACATGAATAAAACGTGTGGAAGCTATTGAAAGAATGTGATCTGGGTGTGATTTCTTTGGGTATAAACCCACAGGTAACATCAACATAGTATCCACATTTGACACAACAATAGGCAAATCCATTGCAAGGTAAACGACAAACATCACAATAGAATACACCAAAAAAGCTAATGGAAATCATGGTGTACATGAGAACAATGGTATGGTGTGGGTGAGTTGGGTGGTTTTGTATTTCTGAAAGGTAGTCGAGTGCACCACTCATGGAGAGCAAAGTTGTTGCAACTCTGCTGATCACACATGTAAAATGACATGGTCTCTGTGATTGGTCTAAGACATCCATTGCATAGCAACTGTGTCTTTTTCATTGGGTCATGACACTTTATTAATAACCAGGAATTAATGTTTGAGGAGGTTTGCCTGATCTTATCAATATCATTGCTTTGTGTCTGAACTAGAATTAGAGGATGTTTATGACTGACGTGGTTTAGGTTTACCTTAGATCCAATTTCCTGGAAAAATAAGTGTTTTGGTACACTGTAAGTTTCATCAGGAAATGGGAGAGGAAGAAGATGAGGGTGGTCGGCCTCTTGAAAATTTTTAACGTTTTTTCTGGTAAATTGGAAATGGATAACAATTAACAAGGTTAGTATATCAAATACCTAAATACTTAATTACAAATGATAACAAGTCATAAAGGGATTAATTAATTACCAGGATGCAAGAAGATGGACATGAACGGCTCTCTTCTTGATGTTGCGCAAATCCAGATGGGCATAATACATACATTTATCGCATTTGTATATCCAATGATTTGGATTACTAAAAGAACGACTGCATACTCTGCATCTAGGATGATGTTTGGCATCTTGATCAATCAATGGGAAGGAATATGAAATGGTGAGTGGATGGGTATGATGAAAAGCACCATCTGTTCTCTCTTGGATGAACAATTTTTTTGGTAGGAAAGCACATTCACTGTGTATGGTGAAACCATTACAAGTGGTACTACATTAGTTGATAGAACATCCCTTTGTGTTCCTTCCCACAAGCCTTGCAGTTGCACAAAATAGGTTGAGAGATGGCACAAATTAGCGAGTGTGGATGACACGGATGATGGATCATCTTTTTTCCTACTTCCACACCACAATTTACATCAATGAAAAAACGACATAAATAGCACCAATAACACAACTCACCACGCTTGTGCAGACGCTCACAAATACTGCATTTCCAATCAAAAATAAGATTAAAAATGGTAAGAGGATGTGGGTCAAAGGTGCTCTCCAAACGTGTTGGGAGCTCACCACAAAATTTGTGAAGTGAGAAATCATCACAAATGGTACATTTGTAGTAGTATCTGTGGTACATACTGATTTCTTCACCACACCTCTCACATGTGACACCATCAAAGCCCTCTTTTGTAACCGGATCACCACCATCATCGCCTTCTTCTTCTTCTTCTTCTTCTTCTTCTTCTTCTTCGTATGGTGGATACTGCAGCTGCAAATCGATGAGCTTTAGTGGATGCTTGTGTTCACGCACCTTCATTAAAATTAAATGATTCTCTTTAAGATATCTACATTAGTTAGACCCCCTCTGTTATTTATAACAAAAAAAAGAATATATCTAAATTTGTTTTATTGTTTATCCTTGGATTTTTCTGTTACACTTCCTATTCCAAAGAAGCAATCAATAAAGGTTGTTAAAAGTGGTTCTCATGGTAATTTAAATTTCTTTAAGTAATTTAACAACCAGATTTTCCTATGTGTATACATTTTATATCATGAAATTACAACGATTTATTTTAAATTTCAAGAATGTTATAGAAGTCGGTTAATTAAAAACAAACATATTGTAGAGTGCATGTTCTTTCTTCATCATTCTAGATTCCTAAAGCTTTGTACTATTTTTAGTTTAATACGTAAGGAATGAACACAACCGAAACAAAGTATGTAAATATTACTTGGACCTTAATACAAATGAAATCAATTTTTGTAAGGATTAAGGAAAGTATAGGATGCTGGTGTGCATTCATATAAACTTCTCATTTCGCAAAGAATAAAGATCACATGTATCCAACAAGTAATGTTTGTAACAAATCTTTTTCATTAATCTGACAAATAAAAATAAACTTGGATATTCCCTCATTTTTTAGATCAAATTGATGTGGTAATGATTTGTTTTATCTTGGAATTGATTACTTGAAACATAAGATTGCCTCAGATTCAGTTCATATCCAGTTTCATTTTGCAATCGGTTCAGATCCAAAAACAACAGTGCAAATTCTCACCTAATAGACAACATGTTACTCCTCTCTTGAAAGAACCAATACAGAAAACTAAAGATTTTCATTTCATTTTTCCTTTCTTTAATCGATTCATCAATACACTCTGATTGCAACAACTATATTATATATATATATACACACACACCAATATATATGTACATTGATTCACTAAGATTCTATGGCCTTAAATTGAGCATGAGATAGATACATACAGTCAAAACTAGAATATTCTAGGAAGCAGAGCCTTTAGATTCTTGATTATCCAGCTCATGTTCTGCTACCAAAATGCAAGAATCCCCTTCCAAAGATGAGGAAGCTACACCCTTCTTCCTCATGAGTATTGCTGATTCTTTTGATGAATTCAGCATCTCTGTTGTACACTGGACATCGGGTGCTATGCCAACTTGATCTATGGCATGAAGTGCTGGTGATAAGTACTTTGCAACCGTGATGAAAAGAGCCGATCCATCATGTAGTTCAGTCACACTCTTCATAATTTATCATTCAAAACATGTTAAAACATAGAATAGATCATAGAGTTTTATATTCTAAAGATTCAAAAAAATTACCTGAATCTTTCCTTTCCCAAATGTCCTGTTGCCAATTAGCTTTGCCCTGCCATTGTCATGGAGTGCACCTGCCAAGATTTCACTTGCACTTGCACTCCCTTCATTAACCTGTACATTATAGAATTGTAGACATTTTGAATATATAGATTTTCATGTCAAAAGATTGTAACAAAAAAAAAAAAAAAACTTACAAGAACAACTAGTGGATCACGAGTAAGAGCATGGCCATTGATCATGTTAATAGGAAGCATGTTCCCATCTCGATCTATTGTGTTCACTAGAGTCTCATCTCCATCCAGCCATATTTGAGCAACATCAAGTCCAGCCTTCACCAAACCACCCTATAACATAACATATATATGTAAATACTACTAGTAAATAGTCAAACAAAATTTTACTAGAGATTTTTCTTAAAAAAAAAAACAGTCAACTTTAGGCTACTTACTGGGTTGTTTCGGAGATCCAAAATGTAAGATTCAACACCCTGATTTTCCAATTCACGAATGGCGTGTTTCATATCTGTAGCAGCAGTCTGTTTACAAAAACTTGTTGTTAGATGACTTTAAGATATGAGGTTATAAAGTAAGACTAAGATTTGGAGAATTAATAAGCACCTGGGAGAAGGCTAATAACTTTACATATCCGGTTTTGGATACATGACCATTTGGTGTTCTATGAGGAATGATGGCACTTGATATAGGAGAAAGTCTGATGAATTCCCGGGGTAGTTTCACCTCTCTAAAACTAGAGTCAATGGCCAACTTTTTTCCCTGTAGATCAAACATGCACAAATTTCTATAAAATCCTTTGGAAAGGAATCAACCAATCCATTCCATTCCTTCCTAGGAAACTTAAATGTAAGAAACTTACATTGTGCACTTTAACTGTAACACTTGTCCCAACATGACCTCTGAGCTTTTGTGCAGCAGCTTCACCACTAATCCCTTTAACCCTCTCCCCATTTATTTCAATCAACTCATCTCCTACATGTATTCCAGCTCTAGCAGCTGGGCTACCCTCAACACAGGACAACACAACCTGAAACAAAATATTTTAAATTAAAAAAATTAAAAAATAAATAAGAATCCATAACTGAGGTCTCAGGTTCAAGTCTCGGCATCACCAACCAGATGACCAGTTTCTGGTTCAGTATTCACAAATAGTCCAACTCCTTGCACGTTTCCATCACTTCCAATTCTGAAACTTTGGTATTCCTGTACATATCATTGCCAAAAAGAAAATAGCGTAAGTTTCCCCTTTTGGGATTAGGAGTAAGAATAAGTTACAAAAATGGTCCCTGTTGTTTCTGACTTTTACCATGTTTAGTCCAAAACTGAAAACACGGGACGATTATTGTAAAAATAATGGAAAAAAATTGCACCTTTGGACTGATAATGCGAGTGAAGGGATCTCCAAGAGTAGAAAGCATTCCTTTAATCTTGCTGTATGCTGCATCAGCTGTTCTAAGTGGAAGCATTTCCACCATTGTTTGTTGGAACTTCGAGTCCCAGTCTACAGAAAACACATAGACTTACGTTAAAACTATTGATACCAAATCACATAAAACAACAGAAATGAATCGTACCTTGATGATTAAAGGTTGGATCAACAAAAGTCTCTCTGATCAAACCCCAAGTCTCTACAAGAGTTCGCTGCACAGCATTCACCTGTTACAAAATCCAATTCACCAAATCCATATAAGCAATAGATCGAACACCTTATCTGCACAACCCAAACAAACTTCTAAAAAAGATGATGAACTGAACACCTACCTCATGAGTACGAGAAGCTGGGAATGCTATTGTCAAGGACTCGGCAAGAGCTGGCGAATCTAAACAAACAGAGACTGCAGCAGCGAGCCCGATCAAACCTTTAGCGATTGAATCAACCAATTTCTTATTGGATTCAACTGATTCGTTCGAATTTGCCTTGGGTAAAGCTTGAGGTGGTGTTGATACTTTACACTTGCTATGGTAACCATTGAAATTTGAAGAAGAGAATCGGTACTTATAGGGCAAAGTTGAAGGGGTTGATGTTTGAGGGGTTTTGGTGTAAATTGATGAAATGGGTGAAGAATTACTAAGATCGAGATTAGGCCGACGTAGAGCATCCATGGTAGATACTCTAACTGGGGGATTTAGGGGTTTTGTAGATTGTAATCGAAGGGATTTATGGGGAATGAATGAACAAGTGTAATGGTTGGATTATTTGTGAATCTAATTCTAAAAGTTTGAATTTGAAAGATCCCTGAGAGATGAATCTTTGTTGTTTGTGGTGTAAGAGTTTGTAGCGTGGGCGTAAGTAAGAGTTCGAGTAGAAGTATCTTAAGAACCTCATGTGTTCCGCCACGTGCATGTCCAGTTGTGGCTTTGAAAAATAACGAAAGTTTTGGAATTTAAAAGGAGAGAAAATAAAATTTGCCTCTTTTTTGGTGTGTCTTTTATTGTAGATTTAGGGTTTGTTCGGCTTAACTTTTTTTTTTTTTTTTTTTTTTTTGTCAAAAGTGATTTTTAAAAAAAATACTTATTAGTTTATGGCTTTTAGGAAAAGCTGATTTTAAAAAATGTTTGGATGAGAAAAGCTGTTTTTTCAGGAGTAAAATAGGTAAAAAGCTAAAAAACTAAGATTTTTCAGTTTTTTGAAGACTTTATTTTTTCCTATTCAAAAAGGTGTTTTAAAAAACACTTTTTAAATACACAAAATACTTTTTTAGCTTATTAGCTTTTAAAAAAGCTAAAAAAACTAACAAGCTTTTTTGAAAAGCTATCCCAAACAACCACTTAACTAAGACTTGTTTTGGTTAGAAAATATAATAATAAATGGTTTGTTATTAATTTTTTAGAAACTAAAAAGTATTACATTATATCTTCTTAAACTTTTTAAAATCTTCTGTTTACATAATTTATCTACTTCATGACTTTAACTTGTAGAAAAGATAAATTCTTGTTGGTAAACTTCATATTGAAATGGATCCACGACTATTTTACTTTTTTTTTTATTTTTTTATTTTATATATTTAGAACGACCATGATATTAATAAAAGGCTAGCAGGAAGCTAGCAAATCAAGATACAAAAACAAGGAAAGAGTAGGATAAACTAGAAACAACAGAAAACAAAACTAAAGCAGACAACATCAATGTATACTAGACAAGACACAACAAAGAGCCAAACGAAAGACACCGTTGGTGTTTATTCATACGAAGCTTTTATTTTTACGGAATAATTCATACCTCTTTCATTTGTTGTTCATGACTGCCAACAATTTGGGTCTGACAGTTTGGGTCAATAAGATTGTCATAGTTGTTGGGCCATGACATTTGATTTGAGGCCTGGGCTGTCAACACTTTATTGTTTATTCTATCCACCACTTAGGTTTCTTTCTTTTGAGTTTTTCTCATTTCAGTTTTTTATGCCACTATAATAAGAAAAAGTTGCAACAAAAATCTTATCAATTGCATAATAGGCTCAACTTGGCCAACTAAAATATACACCACAACCCAATATCAACAGCAAGAAATCTAGACAACGAAAACAAGTCTAGTTTGACAAGAACAAGGTATGAACTACGGGTGTAAGTGAGTCGAGTTACTCGTGAGCTACTCGCTAAAAGCTCGACTCAGATCGAATTAAACGAGCCTGAGCCGAGCTCGAGCCTAAATATAAGGCTCATTTATTAAACGAGCTCGAGTCGAGCTTCAATTAGTGGGTTCGCGAGCCTAAACGAGCTTAAACGAGCCTCTCTCTCTCTCTCTCTCTCTCTCTCTCTCTCTCTCTATATATATATATATATATATATATATATATATATATATATATATATACACACACACACACACACACACACACACACACACATAGATGCTCGTTTAGGCTCGCGAACCCACTAAATTGTTCACGAGCTAAGCTCGAACTTCATTTTAAGGCTCGAATCGAGCTCGAGCTCGAGCTTCCTCAAAATTAAACGAGCCGAGCTCGACCTTGGTCAGACTCGGGCTCGGCTCGGCTCGTTTACACCCCTAGTATGAGCACAAAAACATCCTATGTAACGACTTTAACAATTTTTATTTATTTATTATTATTATTATTATTATTATTATTATTAAATCATACATATGAAATAATAACTTTAAGACTAGACAAAAATTTAAAAATGGCATATGTGGTTTCTAGAAGGTAGCAAGTTGAAGATAACGTTCATTGCCATTACATCGTTGGTCCTATGGTTTCAAAATCCAATTCGGTCGGTCCTTCCGTGAAAGTGTGTCTAACAGTTGTGTTATCATCCGAGTGTTATCATCATTACATGACAATTCTGCATCTCGGTAACATTCTAGTGTAGTCCCCATCAATTCCACCTATAAGGCTACGTTATTGTGCTTAATAACGGCTAATAACGCCAATGAACACCATCCACCTCCACTCGTTAAAGGTATTTCCGTTGTTTCCCGTTACCACCACAATATTTGGTAACGACGTTTTCTTCTGTTTTTTTTTTTTTTTTGGCTTTTTCTGTTAATAACGTCTGTGGGCGTTGCCCACTCCTATCACTCTAAAATGATAGTAATCATCATCATTACCAACTATACACTCATTATCTTTTACCACCGGCTCATCATTGATTGTTACGACTGTATCAAGATCAACCACTTTAACCGGGACATTTTTAACAAATGGAGCTTCATCATTTTTCACAAAAAACATTAGACTTGGATCCAGGGGCGGTATTCTCGGCGTTATGGTGGCGTTAAGGATGTGCCATGCGGGATTGTCAAGACCCATACCATAATGTCTTAACGTGTGAAACTGGAATATTTTCAAACAATCTACTAAGTCAATTTGATGTAAAACATAATAATAACTTATTTTTGATAACTATCCGAATGACAAACAAAAGCATAAACTCTAATAATATAAAATAATATATAAAAACGAAAGAAATTTAACATGAAAAAAGAAATAGAATGAAAGACATAATAATAATCTATTTGACAAAAATCCTATCAAACAACCATATTATTACTCATGTTCTATCTCATGAAGTAAAACTTGGAGTCTTCTTAGCTCTTTTCTCCATAATCTTATTTTTGAAATCCTAACAATCTAATCTACATCCATGAATTATATATATATATATATATATATATATATATATATATATATATATATATATATATATATATATATATAGAAAGAGAGAGAGAGAGAGAGAGAGAGAGAAACATGATCATGTTAGGACTCTTTTTTCGGTGAGTATTCGTGAAAACACCTTAAAAAATTGAAAAAAAAAATACAAATCATAAAATCGAGCATAGTAATATATTGGAGAGAAAAAAAATATAGAAAAAAAGTTTTGAATCATTAAAATTGAATCATTGATCAATTTTATGATCCATGATTCACTTTTTATGGTCTATGATTCAATTTTAATTATCCAATTTTTTTTTTCAAATTTTTTTTTTCAATATAGTATTATGCTCGATTTTATGATTTGTATTTTTTTTAATTTTTTAAGCTGTCCTCACCGAACCGGACCATATATATATATATATATATATATATATTATATATATATATATATATATATATATATAATATATATATATATATATAATGGATCATTTGTTGATAAATAACGGAAAAAATGTTGTATTATAAGAATACACTTTAATCAAATAAAGATACATCTAAATAATTTACATTTAAACACTTTCATGTCATTTAAAATAAGTACTATATGGATTTCAAATGGTGAAAAACAATATATAATTTAAAAATAACTAGTTAAAAAAACATAAACTCCATCAAAACTTAAATAGAATTATTATTCAGTTATTTAGTTATTTTTGGAAACATAAATTATTATTCTAACTAAATTTTGTTTTATTAAACAATATTGTTATTAAAACTTATATAATTAATATTTATAATTATAACATATATTTCTATTTCTCAATCAATGAAAAACACATTCTCTCGTGGAATGAAAAGTAGCCTAATACATGAGAATGAATCACATTTAGTGACAAAAAAGGCTCCATTTCATTCCTTTGTGCGCACATAACTTTTTGCATTATATCATAATGCTCAGTTCGATTATTTCTTCGATTAATGCATGGAAAACATTGACTAAGCATTACAATAGTGAATATAAAAAGGTTGAGATCTCTGAGGTTTGGTGCTGATCTTTCCCACGCCTTGGTTTAGTGAAAATATATGTATGTTGTTTTCATAAATTTAAGCACACATTTAACTAATTCAAGTACTCGGACATATATTTTCTCCGGTCTACACCACCAATGAGGTTGAGAGTGTAGTAAAGTAAAAAATTTCTCTTGTTTATGTCATTATGTGTCATGTGATTGTGTTTCATGATAGAATTAATTAGGACTTTCTTACTTCTATTAAATGTTATTATCCTTGCATTTAATGAGCCTATGCTTATTAAATAATTGCTTTGACGCTTACATATCAGGACTTAAAAATTACTTGAGTATACCGACTCCTTGTACAATGGGAGTTTAGTTATTGAGATGCAAAATTTCACACAAGAGCTTCAAAGTTTAAACTTTCGTACAACCAAAATAATACTAATGTTTTGTGATAGGGCATCCAAGCAAATTCAGTGTAACCCTTCCAAATGGTGCAAATTATTATTTTTTCAAAAGTATAAGAATTGTGTTCACACCAACTAAAAGAAGACACCTATAAAGTATGGTGGGTACATCAAACTTGTCCTTTATTAATAGCTTGTTGGACTCTTGGAGAAGTCTTCATACTTAGACTTGCATATATTCATATGTTCAAGGATCGACTACTGAGATAAGGTGTTCAACTATACTTCAATGGTTGAGTTTTGGTTGTACAAAAGTGTTAGTTGCTTAGCTCCTTTATTCATTCACCATATCACTGTTAAGTTGATAAGTCTACAATAGATTCAACTTTGGTTTGTGATCTGAAAGTGATCCAATGCTTTGTATATTTTAAATCTTTCTATACATATGAAAGTTTGTCAAAATATATACAAATATTTGGGACTAAAACATAATATTCATGATAATACAACAAAAAGGTTTAAATCAGTACGGACATGAGAGTGATAAAACAATAAATGATTACATTCGAGAGGTTGGGATGGGATATCTCCCAAAAAAAAAATACTAATTACAAAATCATAAGAATTTTTTTTTATATATTTTATTCCTATTTATCCTCTTATTTATAAAAAATAATAACATATGAAATTCATTAAGCATCTAAGAAATCCCTCTTATTTATAAAAAATATATGATTCCTACACAACAAACAAATTAACCGACACATTCCACTTAAACTACAACAAATAACCAATCTACCCTTCCTATTTATTAAGTAAGTGTAGCGACATAAATGTCCTCATCTTATTTATTTAATAGGATAAAATGCTGGTGATAGCAAGAAACGATTACATAAAAGAAAAAACTTTGAGTAATCCCTTAAAACTCTATCAATTAATACCATGATCCCTTAAATAACAAAAGAAAAAACGGAATAAAATTTACGAAAAAAAAGCAGTTTGAAGGGTTTTACAATCAACCAGATAGGCAAACCCGTAAGCCATATTCATCAACGTCGCCTGATGCAGCTCCTCCGACGAAGTAGCCGTAGCATCCGTTGAGAAAAACACCCTAAACCCTCTCACAAAAGCTTCCCTCGCCGTCGTTTCACAGCACAGATTCGTCATCACCCCTGTCACGATCACCTCCTCCACTCCCATATCCTTCAGCCGATCCTCCAGCTGCGTTCCTCTAAACCCACTATATGTGTTCTTCTCCACAACCAATTCCTCCTCCCGCCGCCCAATCTCCGGCATCAACTCGGAATCCGGTGTTCCATCGATGATCAGATCGTTGCCCCACCACTCCCCAAGCATGGCGTGATCGGCAGGGGACTTGTGGCAGTGGCGAGTGAAGATGACTGGGATGGAAGCACGGCGGCAGGTATTGATGGTTGTCGTGATTGATGGGATTATTGGTTTGGCGATGGAGGAGAAGTGGTTCTGCATATCGATTACTAACAAGACGGAGGTTTTGGGGTTAGGGTTTCGTTTTCTGATTTGGTATCTCTTGTAGGAAGAAGCCATCAATACCGAATCGTATATAATTAATTGAAAATAGCTATAGGAAAGAACTATGTGGAAGAGCCTGGACAAAACTTTTATGGAGAACTTAATACTAATAATTTAGGCATGGCAATTCGAGATCGTGTGATACGACCCACATATATTTTGAAAAAGTTTATAAATTTATTTATCTTGTTGTTGTTCGTGCTAACACATGAAAACGACACGAATAGGTCATTCTTACACTTAGGGATGTCAAAAAGTTCCGTGATACCCCGTTTCCGTGGGGGCCCCGTCCCGTTTGGGGAAATTTTTTAAAAAAATCGGGGGGCGGGGACGGTGACAGGTGCAAGGACGGGGATATGGGGGCAAGGTTAACCATTGTTTTAATTTTGGAGGCGGGGGCGGGGGTAGGCAATCTCGTCCCGAAACCCCCATGGGGACCCCGTTAATAAATTACATATATATTTACATATATTAATTATATAAATATAATAAACAATAACATGATTTTAAACTTCCAAAATTCATCAAAAAACATGTTTTTAAGTTATAAGTATAATGTTTTTAAGATGTCTGATATTGTCATATTTATACATATTTTAGACAATATTTTAATACATTTTTATACATATTTTGGTTATTTGCAAAGATAAATGATACTTATTGGAATTAATTGTATTTTGCAGCCAAAAATGAGCAAACATGAAGAAAAAGGACCAAAAAATGACGAGTAGCGGAACTTTGGAGGTTTAAAGATCTTAAAGAAGAAAATTCCAGCGAAAAGCTAAATTCACGTCGTGTATATTAATTTCACGACGTGGGACAGGTGTTTCTAGAAGATGAGTACACGGGAAGTCAGAATCCTTGCCCGATAAGGATTTATCCTAATTCACGACGTGAATCTCTACTTCACGACATGAAGTTCAAAAATCACGAAAATTATATATACCATTTGTATTTACGAATGAAGGGACTTTTGGGGAGATTGGAGGGTTCTAAAAACAATTTCTAGAAGAGTTTAAGTCAGGGGAATTAAGTAATAACATCCAAGGAAGAAGGAGTTGAAGATCATAACTTCCACTTTTTTATTTGGTACATTTGACTATGTTTTTAATCATTGAATTTGTGTGTTTGATTTCAGCCATGAGTAGCTTAATCTAACTGCTTCTGTTTAGCTAGATGAAACTTGAACTCATGAATTAGTTATTTGATGAAGGATTTTTCTAGTTGGTTATATGCTTGTGTTGATTGTTTATACCTAGCATGTTAAAATTTGATACTTAGATTGCTTGAATTCATGTTCTGTGTAGTTTAGTGAATATTAAATTGCATGAACTTGACACCTAGTAATTTAGTGACTATTAGATTATTAGAGCTAAGATCGAACCAATCTTAGATAAGTAGTTAAAGTATTTGAATTTGGTTGCGCTGGAGAACATATATTGTGAATATAATTGTGTTTGTTAAATCAATTTTATATAGTTCCAATCATAATTAATAATTGATTCTGTGTTAAATTATGTGTGACCATGCATAGTTCTACATGAATGAGTTAATCATTAGTAAATTTGAACTTGAATTACTAATAATTTATTAATTGGTAGCTAACTTGAATTATCCGTAATTAGTAGCTAATCATTGAGGAAAAGTGGATTCAAACTAAACAGAAGTGTTTTTAGTCATTAATTGAATTTGATAGTTGAGTAATTAAGTTTGTCTGAACTTGCAAAATCAGATAAAACCATTTAAACCTTTGCTTAGATTTTTAGGTTAATTTAGTAGCAGTTAGATTAAATAACTAAATCCGTTTCCTGAGATCGATACCCGAATGTTGTGTTATACTATTTGCGAAAAGGTACACTGCCTTTAGTCGAATAGCTAGTTAGATAGTATGTAAAATTAGGTGTAGTATTTTGACACATCAAGTTTTTGGCGCCGTTGCTGAGGAACGACTATTTGGTTTAGGAATTTAGGCCCTGTTTGATATGCATCTGACCGAGTCAGGTATGACATTTTTGGCTGACTCGGTCAGACGAAAGGTGTTTGATAGACAAAATCTTGACGTCTGACTCGGAAAGCAAGGTCTGACCGAGAAAGAAGTTGGGAGATGGCTGACCCAGAAAGAAAGCGAGGGTTTCCAATAGTATCCTTGGCTTGGATAAAAATTCGCAGCTAACGAAGGTTATATGATTAGAACTTAGGTCTCCCTTGTAGAAGGGATGGTGTTTACCAGCAAGCTGAATGACTTTTTGTGTTTTATTTCTAAAATAATATATTTAATGTCTATTATGCTGGAAGTTTTGTATACATTATTATTATTATTATTATTATTATTATTATTATTATTATTATTATTATTAATGTCTATTATTATTATTATTATTATTATTATTATTATTGTAATTGTTGTTATTATTATTGTTGTTTTGTTATTATTATTATTATTATTATTATTATTATTATTATTATTATTATCATCATCATCATCATCATCATCTTCATATTGCATAGAAACGTGTAGAGCATCGGGGTAAAATGGTCATTTTGCACCAGTCAGAACATTCAGTCAGATTTTCAATCAAACAACATGATTTCTTACTCAGCCAGAATTTCTTACTCAGACAGACCTTTATCAGTCAGCACTTTCTCGGTCAGCAACTATCAAACGAGGCCTTATTTGATTTAGGTTAGTAGATACTTTTTGTGGGGTAAAACCTGCAAAAAGTTAAATTTAAGCACCAGTTTACTTTTCAGTACTGAAGTCACGACGCGAGCCTTAAGCTCACGACGTGAAGTCAGTAGTTTTTCGTTTTTCGTTTTTAGTTTCTGTTTAGATTTTCTGCGACAACACGAGGTGGTGTTATTTACCACGTCGTAGCGAACAGTCTGTAGGAATTTTTAATTAGTTTTTATTCAATTTTACGTTTTGGTTTTTGTTTTTATTGTAGTAGTTCATGACCCGAGGATCCAACACACCGTTGGTACCACCACTTGAAGATCCAGAGTCAGCCCTTCGTAAAAAGACGGATAAAAACGTAGGAGAAACCAACCCACCAAAGAAGTTGCCTTTCAAAGATCTTAAATTAGTTTTTGGAAAGAAAAGGTGGGAAAACGTTGGTGAGTCAAGCAATTCTTCGAAGGACAAAAGCAAAGTTGAAGGCTTTGGGCAAAATCCATGTCCGCAAGAATCTGCTTACGAGTCTGATCCAGAATTCGAATTAGAAGGAACCGAACCCGAGGACAAGCCAAAAGACACCATGGCTGATATTGCTGATATTTCGATGGGAACGTATAAAAAGAGAATCTGAGATGACACTGGTCCTGGCTTAGTGCAACCTGCAAATCCCGCCACTGTCACATTCGAGCTAAAAGGACATATTCTTTCCGCGCTTAAGGACGTTCCATTTTCCAGGAAAGATCATGAAGATGCTTACAAACACCTTGATCAATGACATAGCTGATTATTTCAACATCCGGAATGTTCCAAGAGAAACAGTGTTGTTAAGAATACGTCCAGTAACTTTCAAAGGAGCTGCTAAAGACTGGTTGAAGGCACTCCCACCTGGTGCCATTACTACATGGGCACAAATACGCGAGCAATTCTTAGAACAATTCTGCCCACCATAAAAAATAACTAAACTCAAGAAGGCGATTGCCAACTTTGAGCAACAACCGGGTGAATCACTTTATGAAACATGAGAGCGCTATAAGGGGTTACTTAGAAATTCCCCCAAAATGATCTTAACGTGCAACAAGAAGTCTCAATATTTTATGATGGGGTGAACGTGATGACAAGGAAACTCCTTGATTCTCAAGGACCTTTAACAAAGAAAAATCCCGCCGAAATCAAGGAATTAATTGAAGAATTTTCCAAGCATTCTTGTGAAATTCATAATCCTAGACATGATGGGGCAAGAGGAATTGGGGGTGGAACATCTGAAGACATGGCAGCTGTGTTAGCTATGTTGAATATTATGGACCTTAGAATGACCAAAATGGACCAATCCATACACGCTATTCGTGTGGGTTGTGAAAGATGTAGTGGTCCACATTTAACAAAAGATTGCCATTTGGATGAGAACGGGAACAAAAAGTCTCAAGTATTTTATTCAAGTGGAGACAAATATGATGAAGATTTGAGAAAGCCAAAGAAAAAGAGGTTGCCATATGATGAATATAAGAATAAAAAAGAAGAGAAATATAGGCAAACAGGCCGACGCTTTTACCACATCTAACCACCGACACTGCCTCATGTTCAAATCAGCTGGTCCATGAGGTACCTCAAGCTCTTGTGGTCCGTGTAAATGGTACAACGAACCCCATAGAGGTAATGCCGCCAAATATTGAGGGCGAAAACCACGGCCCCCAGCTCTAAATCATGTGTCAGATAGTTTGCCTCGTGAGGCTTCAATTGCCTTGAAACGTAAGCTATCACGTGACCTCGCTGCATCAACACCACACCCATGCTCGTGATCGAAGCGTCACATTAAACTACGAAATCATCGACGCCTTCCGGTAAAGTCAGAATCGATGCCTCACATAACCGCTATTTGAGAGTCTCGGAGGTTGCCTGCTGCTCAGGCCCCCAGCAGAATGTCACCGACTTCTTGGTCAGTTGGGTCAAAGGAACAACGACGTTGGAGAAATCCTGGATGAATCTCCGATAATAACCCGCTAGACCAAGAAAACTCCGAATCTCAGTTGGAGACCTCGGAACCTCCCACTGCATCACAGGCTCTATCTTGGCCGGATCGACCAGAATACCCTTCTGGTTGACAAGGTGCCCCAGAAACTGCACCTCGCGCAACCAGAACTCACACTTGGAGAACTTTGCGAAAAGTCTCTCCCTCCTCAGAGTCTCCAGCACCTCCCTCAGGTGCTCCTCGTGTTGCTCCTGAGTCTTCGAGTAAACCAATATATCATCGATGAAGACTATCACAGACCGGTCCAGCATCGGTCTGTACACGCGGTTCATGAGATCCATGAATGCGACAGGAGCGTTGGTGAGCCTTAACGAC